GGTCTTTTATTAGATTTAATATATAACCATTTCTCACTTGTTTTCTAATAATATTATTAAGTATATCAGTATTGTATGGTGCATGTTCAAAGATGACCGAGGCATGACACTTTGGATTGGATATAACTATATTCCCATTATATATAGACTCAAACTTTCACCATGATAAGCAAGTTTATAAAAGCGCCCTGGACTAATCTTGTTCTAACAAGTATTCGAAGATTAATTGGTGTAATTCATGGAAGGTGACTTATCTTATGATCTTCTTACTTATATGAGTAATTAAACTTATCCAAAATATTCACAATTACTATTCCACTAGAGTTAATTATGAGTCTATTAATAACTGTAATATTTAATCTACTTTCTTGTAAATAGACAATGCAGTTATTTAGATAAGAGATTTTAAAAGAAATAATTATTCATTTATTTAATCCATTACCCTTACTATTTCTTAAATAATGAAGTGTACTAAAAATGTAATACCTTGTATTAACATCAACGAAAAAATATATAAAAGCCCAGTCCTGTAAACTCCCAAAAAAAAAAGCGCTTAAACAGTGCCAATTTGATTGGGTTTCTTGGCCCAGCACTCTTTCAAAGGCCCAGCAGTGTTGCTACATTTTTCACACTTTTTGACCCCAAGCTTCAATCTGTGGGCCCCCGATTATGCCCTTGGAACAGTATTCTTTGTATGGGTAAAAAAGTCTTTTTCACTAAAATGGATAAAAATCCTGTTCTGTAGCTAGCCCGTTCCTCCAGTCCGTGCGTTTATTTTTCCCAGCCGAGTCCTCAACCCTTTCTTCTTTTTTTCTATTTTTTTTTTTACAGGAGCAATAGTTAGAAATTAAGAATTAAAAGTTAGAAATTGATATCTTATTCTTTGAGGAAATTCAACCACTTAGCAGAGTGTAATCCATCGACAATCTTTTTAAACTGTAGTGATCACCAATAAATCACAATGGAAGAATCCGAATCCCTCAATCCTATAAATGTTCTTCATGTTGCTTCTCAAATGACGTATAGAACTGTTTTTTTTTTTTTTTTTTTGATATATTTGATTATAAACTACATAAAATGAATAATCCTCTTGTGTTGTTTAAAATTTAAATTTTTAAAATCCCTAATTTAAAATTATTTCACTTGAGACTTAAAAATTGTATGGAGTTACTGTAGATGACTTGCATATAATATGAATTTTTTAAAATTTAAACTAAAGGCAATTTCATCTGGGCTTTTGCCACGTCATCATCTTCTAATTGTAATGCCTGCCGAGCCAATAAACTTATCAACAATCTTGAAATGTCAACCATCAATGGCGGCATGTACCTTCCTGTCCGTTTTTACCTCGCCACCGGTGCGGTTGCTTCATCTGTCACCGCTCCCTTCTCGTCACAGCCTCCATGCCATCCTAGCCACCCAATTTCTAAAACCCGGGCTCCGGTGTCAGGGGATTAGCTTTAACATCCCGCTTCCCTCACCAACGACCCATAAACCAGTTCGATCACTGGAAGTCCGGTCACATCTGAGGTGCCCTATTGTTTCTCCCGACGACCATTGGGGCACATGGACTGCTCTCTTCGCAACTGGTGCTTTTGGTCTCTGGTAATATATATCTCTCTGCACCTTCTAATTTTTTTTTTTTATTAGTTTCGTAATGGTGAGTGTTTTTTGTTGATTTATTAAGGGCAGAGAAGACAAAGATTGGGAGCATGGTGAGTGCTGCGTTGGTGAGCACATTGTTGGGGCTAGCGGCTAGCAATCTAGGCATAATTCCTCATGAAGCGCCGGCATATGCTATTTTCATGCAGTTTCTGCTACCACTTGCTGTTCCTTTACTCTTGTTTAGAGCAGACCTGCAGCAGGTTATGCGGTCCACTGGGACATTGCTTCAAGCTTTCTTGCTTGGATCTGGTATTACCGACATGCAACCCTGAATTTATGTTAATCTTTATGCAACAATGCTATAATAGTGTGTCATGATCTTGGGGGCTATACTTCTGTGTCCATGTTTTTATGTGGTCGAAATTTGCATTTCATATAGAATCCCTGTAAAGTTATATTATGGACATTATTTCAGGGAAAAGAAAGTTCATATCTGCATCGGATTCCTCATAGAGAATCTTTTATGATTGTTCGATAATTTTGTTTATTCTTATGCATGACAGTTGCAACTATAATCGGAACTCTAGTGGCTTTTCTAATGGTGCCTATGCGATCTCTTGGTCAAGATAATTGGAAAATAGCTTCTGCTCTCATGGGTAGTTATATTGGTGGATGTAAGTTGTCTTCAAAATGTTATTGCTTCTTACTATTGGTTCTGGGTCTCCCTGTTACAAATGCAAGAAGATTTGACAACCATTGATGACACCTATTCTTTATTTCTGATTGCTGACACATTTCATAAAAGAAAGCAAATACCCTGAAAGCTATATTACATGGAGCATCCATACCTTCTGCACACACCAAACGCAAGTTAGGCATAATTGATGACTAATGCATAGATGATGGTGGCCATAGCTTTCTTGAGTAAAATATCAAGCTGTCATACATTAGCACTGAATACTTTTTGGACCATTTTCTGTTTTTGAGCTTATGTTTAGAATCTGCTTATTCAACTGCTTCAATGTCTAATTTTGATACCTTGAGTTTCTTTCTCTTACTTAATTTCTTTACATCAAATTCAAATCTCAGTGTCCTGAATCAGTGCATTTCCTTTTTTTTTTTGGGGGGGTTCTGTAGCTGTTAACTATGTTGCAATTTCAGAGGCTCTTTGCGTTTCTCCATCAGTTTTGGCTGCAGGAGTTGCTGCAGATAACGTTATTTGTGCTATATACTTTATGGTGTTGTTTGCATTAGCCTCTAGAATAGCACCTGAGACTCCAACATCAACCAATGGTAAGTATTATTCAGTTGATGCCTTGACATCCTTAATACATTTACACATTTCTTTAAGTTCCCTGTTGGAATTATTTACTGTTTGTATCATTTTCTGTACCATTCACTTTAGCTCGCTGCTTGCCCTGGAAAATTAAAACATACTAATCAATTAGTTTTCCATTTAGTACCTATCCTCTAGGGTTCTAGATTCCATTCTCAGACTTTAATCTAGAAGAGAAATATATTCAAATGTGGATCATTTTCTAACAAAAAATATGGATATTGTTGTTCTCACAGTATGCAACCTTTCCCCACTCATTAAAACTTTTGGCAGATTATGAAATGAATTCAGATCCTGATTCTGGAGGCAAGATCCCTGTGCTTCAGATTGCTACAGCTCTTGCAGTCTCCTTTCTGATTTGTAAGACTGCCAGTTATCTCACAAAAGCTTGGCAAATTGAAGGGGGCATCTTAACTGGAGTAACAGCTATTGTTGTCATTTTGGCAAGTTTATTCCCAACACAATTTGGTCATCTTGCACCTGCTGGTGATGCAATAGCTCTAATCCTTATGCAGGTACTTGAATTATCCCCAATTTTGATTGATCTGCATTCTATGAAACAGTTTCTCTTTAACATAGTTTTGGTTCCAATTTGATGCAACATTGTTTTTCCCTGAATTTTATTTCCCCAAGCAATATATATTTTTATATCAGTATCCAAACAATATAATCTCCAGTGAATTTCTGAACTCTCTCTCGGAAGATTCAGCCATTGAACAGTGTTTGCAATTAGAAGTACGACTACATTACTATCTGAGAGGTTTTACTTGGATTCTTCATCTAGGTATTTTTTACTGTGGTGGGTGCCAGTGGGAGCATAAGGAATGTCATCAATACAGCACCAAGTATTTTCTTGTTTGCTCTTGTCCAAGTGACCACCCATCTTCTCGTGATACTAGGACTTGGAAAATTACTTGGTTTAGATCTAAAGCTTTTACTTCTAGCATCCAATGCCAATATTGGAGGCCCTACCACAGCATCTGGAATGGCCAAAGCCAAAGGATGGGGCTCATTGGTTGTTCCATCAATCCTTGCCGGTATCTTTGGGGTTGCAATTGCAAATTTTCTGGGCATTGGTTTTGGGACAAGGGTACTTAGATACTTGTAAGTTTTTTCTTCTTCTGGTCAATTGTACTTCTAAGCTTTCAATTTTGAAATAAAAGCTGCATATTATGTTAAGACGTTACTTAAATTTGTTGGTATTTTCACCTGCTTGGAATAAAAACACAATCTGATCATTTCTTGTCTTCTTGTTGAACAATGAGGGAAAGATTTCCCAAGAATGTGTTTGTTGAAAAAACTACGAAGTAGGGGAGGG